GTTTCAGTTTATGAAGATAGTCCACTCTGCTAATTGAACTAAGAAATGGTTTCAGTTTATGAAGATAGTCCACTCTGCTAATTGAACTAAGAAATGGTTTCAGTTTATGAAGATAGTCCACTCTGCTAATTGAACTAAGAAACTGTTTCAGTTTATGAAGATAGTCCACTCTGCTTGTTGAACTAAGAAACGGTTTCAGTTTATGAAGATAGTCCACTCTGCTAATTGAACTAAGAAATGGTTTCAGTTTATGAAGATAGTCCACTCTGCTAATTGAACTAAGAAACTGTTTCAGTTTATGAAGATAGTCCACTCTGCTTGTTGAACTAAGAAACGGTTTCAGTTTATGAAGATAGTCAACTCTTCTAATTGAACTAAGAAACGGTTTCAGTTTATGAAGATAGTCCACTCTGCTAATTGAACTAAGAAACGGTTTCAGTTTATGAAGATAGTCAACTCTTCTAATTGAACTAAGAAACGGTTTCGGTTTATGAAGATAGTCAACTCTTCTAATTGAACTAAGAAACGGTTTCGTTTTATGAAGATAGTCCACTCTGCTAATTGAACTAAGAAACGGTTTCAGTTTGACATAGCCTGAACTTTATGTCACCATATTTCGTTCTATTAGTTACAGTTTTGTAGGCCCTTGTGATAAAATACAAATAATCATCGTTTTAGGTAAGTAAATCTAACATTACACAGAATTAGCTTAAAATGTTGGTTAGAACTTAAGAACATGAAGTAATGATATCAAAATTAACTTTAATTAAAAACGCATTAAAGAACGAACTGTTTCGAGTTTGTCATTGCGATCTTAAACAGAAACCAATAAAATTAACCTGCATATTACAGGGTATATTATTTCAACACTAGCACGTGCGATTCCGACATACAATCCTACACATTCTGTGATATTAATTAGGATTTTAGAGGGCACTAGTCACGCATCTCCCCATCACTGTACAGAAGGCACTAGTCTCGCGTCTCTCCAGCAACGTACAGAGGGCACTAGTTTCGCGTTTCCCTGTCACCATACAGAGAGCACTAGTCTCGTACAGAGTTGCTAAATCTGGCTCTGGAAATTTGGGCACTGTAACAATTAGAACTTAAAATGCAGTGTTGGATCATATATATATATATACGAAACATGTTATAGGTTTCAATAAAATGAGCAAACGTGATGTAATTTCAAATTATTAATATATTACTGTACTGTAACAGAAAGTGGGAGGCGTACTAAAATTCATTAATCAGAAGTTTGGTTTCATTTGCTTGTATTTAAGCGCAAAGCTACACAATGGGCTATCTGTGCTCTACCAACCACGGGTATCGAAATCCGGTTTCTAGCGTTGTAAGTCCGTATATTCCGGCACTGGGGAGGGGGGTGGGGGGCGTGTTTAATGTCATAATATGCATAATATGTTTGAACGTACTCTATCCACATTGTGTTGTGTTTATTGAAACTTGGTAATTCACGGATTAATGTATTTCTATTTTTTCGCTAAAGTAAAATTATGAGAAAGAGAGCGTGTAATGTTGCGGCCTCGTTAATTAGGTTATTTCTACGTATGTGTATTTGTGGTTATTTTATAAGAAACATAACATTACAATAACACAATACACACTATTGACATACAAAATAACTCTCTCTCTCTTTTCATTCTAAACTAGAGACGGCTAGCGCAGAAAGCCCTAGAGTTGTTTTATGCGAAATTCAACAAAACAAACTTTCACATTTTCTCTACAAGTGCCTCTTTGAACTAGTTAGTTGCTGTCCGATCCATCTTTGATCATCATGAACAGGTTAATGTAAATCATCATTAAAATAACATCCACATTATTACATGGGACGTGGTACTAAGCTCAACGCATGAAAAGCATCTAGTCGCCACATTATTACACGGGACGTGGTGCTACGCTCAACGCATGAAAAGCATCTTGTCGTCACATTATTACACGGGACGTGGTGCTACGCTCAACGCATGAAAAGCATCTTGTCGCCTCATTATTACACGGGACGTGGTGCTACGCTCAACGATGAAAAGCATCTTTGTCGCCACATTATTACACGGGACGTGGTGCTACGCTCAACGCATGAAAAGCATCTTGTCGCCACATTATTACATTGGACGTGGTGCTAAGCCAACACATGTATAACTTATATAGTAAGAGCGTCTAACCGTCCACATCATTACAAGAACGTTGTGCAACACCTAAAACATATATAACGTAGTAAGAGCATCTAGCCGTCCAAATTATTATACAGGATGTTGTGCACCACCTAATTCATATATTACGTAGTAAGAACATCTAACCGTCCACATTATTACACGAACGTTGTGCAACACCTAATAAATATATTACGTAGTAAGAGCATCTAACCGTCCACATTATTACACGAACGTTGTGCAACACCTAATAAATATATTACGTAGTAAGAGCATCTAGCCGTCCCAATTATTATACAGGATGTTGTGCACCACCTAATTCATATATTACATAGTAAGAGCATCTAACCGTCCGCATTATTACACGGACGTTGTGCAACACCTAATTCATATATTACATAGTAAGAGCATCTAGCTGTCCACATTATTACACGGACGTTGTACAACACCTAATTCATATATTACGTAGTAAGAGCATCTAACCGTCCACATTATTACACGAACGTTGTGCAACACCTAATTCATATATTACGTAGTAAGAGCATCTAACCGTCCACATTATTACACGGACGTTGTGCAACACCTAATTCATATATTACGTAGTAAGAGCATCTAACCGTCCACATTATTACACGGACGTTGTGCAACACCTAATAAATATATTACGTAGTAAGAGCATCTAGCTGTCCAAATTATTACACGGGACGCGGTGTTACGCTCAACACACGTAAAATTTCAATATTTCAGGTAACCTACCGTCCTCCTCAGTACTAAAGTTCTTGTCTCTCCAAGGTCCTTTACTAACGGTCTCTGCTTGGACTCGTATGATGTATATTGCTGATGGATTTACCTGGATGATAGTACTGAGGTTTTGAACTCGATTTTTTTTTTATAATCATATAAATTGTAGAAGCATTCATGAATCCATCTGATCTGTCTACATCTTACATTGTAGCCTACAATGATTCCATTTTCTTCCTTGGGTTTCTTCCAAGTAACTTTCAACTGATGAGGAAAAAGCTGGGCAACATTGAGATCCTGCACTTCACTAGGTGCTGCAAATAAACAAGCTATACATGTAAACGCCAATTTTTCAATCAATTAACGTATTACCATTCAAGTATAATTTTTGTATGCATGCCGAAAGTAAATTTCAAAATTCACAAGTTATTAATAATGCTTGGAAACGGCTTGAATGGGTAATGAAGAAAAACGTTAATACAAGTTTAACATAACAGCAAATGTACAACGTTTCTAAGTCGTGCAACAATATCCGGTCACGTGACCTCTTTCTTCCATACTATATATGTATATATCTGTGTCAGTGTAAACTACCTGTACCTGATGATCACAAAACCTTGTCGTATATCTGCTGTTATGTTAAACTGCTATTAAAGTTTTCTTCATTACCCATTCAAGCCGTCTCCAACCATTATTAGTATCAAAGTGGGTTCCTCGTCATCGAATTTGAATTCACAACTTATTAATTTCCGAACACGCTTGTCATTAAAGTTTAGCATTCAACCCCCTAATACTACAACCCAAATCAACTATAGTCGATGACATGGAAAATACCAAAAGGAAATATTGTTTAAATAATATAATTACGATTGAAGGTTTTACATCATGCTTGATAAAATTATAACAAAAACAAAAATTATTTTATTACAACTTACAGAACGAATATTTTTACGGTAGTGATAAAAACGTCCTACTTATTTAAAACATAATCTTCCTTACTGTAAAATATTTAACTTGTAATAAAATAATACAGTAAGACCTCTAAAATTCGGTATTATAAAGTTCGGGAACCTCTGAAATTCTGATGATTTAAGACCTCGGGACCTTAATTCCCAAATTCGGAATATCATCCGAAATTCAGATTGCCTGCGAGGTTTTGTGTTTTGAGTTATAGTATACTGTATTTATATACTGCATTCAGTATGATCTATTTTATTTAAAGCTTTTAGGTTTTCTTGTTATATTGTACTCATCATTGCTGCTTGTTTATTCCAAAATTCGGAAAGACCCAGGTCCCAATCAATCCGAATTTTAGAGGTCAGACTGTATTTACAATCATTAAGTAAACTTTGAATAAAAAAAAAAAACATGCATGTAAACAGTGAACAATATTATTATGTCATAAATGATGTACAAACCAGACGCTATGCATTATGTAACAGGTAATAAAGGCCACTCAGGACCTTTAGAAACCATGCTCATGTATTTTTTCTTATTTAGTTACCACAAATGAAACATTTATAGTCCAATTTCAGAAGGTCTTAATCTTAACATCTATATATTTTGTTTTGGTTATATTATCCATATACCAAATTTGATACTATTACTCCTTTTAAACAACTGTTATAAAATTTAATTTAGTCATAGCATCCATATACCAGATTGAATATTTTTATTATTTTTGAAAAATGTATGGAATGTAATTTCGTAACATTAATTTCCACATTAAGAACAGGACCAACGTGCATTTTTAACATTGGTCCTATTTTTGATTTTAAACTTTTAGTATTAGTTTCCCTGTTCGAATTTTCACTAATTTCCATATCTACCTGCAAACTGTTTTTGTTGTTGTTTTGTTTTCATTTGTTTTGTTTTTTTATGTATAATAAAACTATAAGAATTTTGAAATTCGGGGGAAAAAAGAATTAGCTTACCGCTTTCCGGTGTTCTGAATGTGTAAGTTTCAGTCCAGTCAGAAAATGTGTTGTCTTTAGTTTCGACTCGTAAGGCTATCTTCCATTCAGTGTAGGGTTTAGATTGAAAAAACACGGTATTACTGCCTTGGCTTACTTTTTCTTCCTTAAAAGCTCCCTTAGAATTGTTATAAGATACTTTGACAGAAACATTATGACAGTTCCAAGTGGACTGGTCGGGCAACTGTAAAAATGACAGCATATTTAAATATTTCTTCCAAGAAATTCCTCTACATTTAATACGTAGGTTGTTTTTTTAAACTATTTTTACGTGTAAAATGTAAAAGATTAAGCCAGATCAATACCGTTTCTTGTAACAAATAAGTTAAATTTAGAAAGAAAACAACTGTTGTCTCGCTTTAATTCAAAATAAACTATTTTTACGCTAAATGTTTCGAGCGTAAATACAATAAGAAGATAAAAAATTAAATTGTTTAGCTTAAGTGAAAAAAAAATGTGACTAGATGTTTCTACACAAAAATAAAAAGAGCTGCCACTTTTAATTTTGTCATTTAATTGTGAACATGTTTTTAAAGTTATTACTGTCCTTTGTAAACTTCGTTTTTTCCTTGTTCTATACTTGCCTGTTGATCAAAATTAAGTCCTCCATTTCTTTAGAAAGTTGCATTCGTCTTTTACTAGGCCTAACATGGCTTAGTCGTTGGGTTGGGTTTGTTTGGAATTTCGCAATAAGCTACTCGAGAGCTACCTGCCACAGGCGTCCCTAATTTAGCAGTGATAAACCAGAGGGAAGGCAGCTAGTCAACACCACCCATCACCAACTATCTGGCTACTATTTTATTAACGAATAATGGGATTGACTGAAACATAATAACACCCCCACGACTGAAAAGATAAGCAGTTCGCTGAGGGGGATTCGAGTTGAACGCCCTAACTACTAGGCCATGCCAAGCCCTGGTGGTTAGGGCACTCGTCTCGCAACCTGCGAGAAGCGGATTCGAATCCTGTCACCGAACATGCCTGCCCTTTCAGTCGTGGAAGCGTTATAATGTGACGGTCAATCTCTCTAATCTATCAATTCAAAATTAAGGACAGCTGGCGAGCACAGATAGTCCTCAAATAGCTTTGCGCAAAATTCAGCAAACAAACAAAATCGTATTTTAAATAGCTGAAGGTTATATATAGTATATCTTCCAGAAATAGGTAATTCTTGGAAAGAACTGTTGAAATACCTATATGCTTTTATTTAAATAACCCAACTCATTATGTTAAAAAAGCATTATTCACCAAACTTCAATATAGTCTGGCTAAAAAAGGTATTTAATTCCTCAAAACTTGCTATAAAAATATTTCCTTTTCAAACATACCTTCCATGTAACATTCACTTCATTCAAAACGTTGGCTGATACCATTACATTCTTCGGTGGATCAGTTGGTCCTACATTTCAGAAAAAAGAAAAACTTTCTGAAATCAAGCTGTGATTTTTTACACGCTAAATCAAGCTGTGATTTTAACATGCTGAATTATGCTGTGACTTTAACATGCTAAATAAAGCTGTGACTTTTACATGCTAAATAAAGCTGTGACTTTAACATGCTAAATAAAGCTGTGACTTTAACATGCTAAATAAAGCTGTGACTTTAACATGCTAAATAAAGCTGTGACTTTAACATGCTAAATAAAGCTGTGACTTTTACATGCTAAATTCCGTATCTTTTCGTAAAGGTTTGGTAGATAAATATTTTTGATATTAAGCCACCCAGCATTTCTAATTAATTTGATGCGTTAGGCGTTTTATATAATTATTAACTTTATTTAGAACAGAGCTTATTTCTTGTATTGAATTCTAATAATCAAAAGGATGTCATTTGAAAATAAAATGCATGAAATAAAATAAACATAGCGACAAAAGCAATTAAGAAACTCCTTAGTTATTTTTTTAAAATATAAAGTATAGAAATAACACACAAGCGTTGTTTCGCTGTACACGACCAGTACTATGTATGTTATAAGAATGTTTGGAAGTTATGCTTATGTATCTCTTTTAACAAGTTAATTTAAGCATTTACCAATATGATCTTTAAAAATACAATGTATGGTAGTTCACAATTATAAATCTACATTTAAAAATAAATAAATAAGAATATGTATACTACTTCAATAGCTCATCCTTTGTTTGTTTATGTTGATTAATCGATTTGATTTGTTGTTCAGCACGAAGCTACACATACACGGGTATTGAAACCTGTTTTTTTGTGTTATTCGCTGTTTTTTAGTGTTATTCTCTAGGCCACGGGGGGGGGGGTGCTGTGCACATCTAACTGGAGACAATCAGTAATCTCGTAAGTTGATGATGGGGGAAACTGTAGATGAGAATTAAACAATAAAAGAACAGGCAGCTGAAATTGAAATATAAATAATCACGTCAACTAATAACAACTTTGAATGGGTCCGGCATGGCCAGGTGGTTAGGGTGCTCGACTCGCAATCTGCGGGTCGCGGGTTCGAATCCCAGTCACACCAAACATGCTCGCCCTTTCAGCCGTGGCGGCGTTATAATGTGACGGTCAATCCCACTATTAAGTGGTAGAAGAGTAGCCCAAAAGTTTGCGGTGGGTGGTGCTGACTAACTGCATTCTCTCTAGTCTTACACTGCTAAATTAGGGACGGCTAGCGCAGATATCCCTCGTGCAGCTTTGCGCAAAATTCAAAAGAAACAACAACTTTGAACATGATACTTACGAGCACAGAGGGTAGTAGCAATTGTTTCTGATACAAGCTTTTCTTTTTGCACGGAGCCATCTTTATCTTGCACCAAAACTCTTAGAGAATACCTTGTGTCAGGTAACAATCCATCAACTTTATAAGAAATATTGTTATGTCGATAACTCTCCTTAGCTTTCACCTTCCCAGCTTCTTTCCAGTTATTGGTTGACTGTAAAAGATTCTAGGTAGATAATGATCAGAAAAATAACTAAGTAATTTATACAAAAAGAGTAATGTCTATTTTCTGTACGAGTTTTGTGTGTGTGTGTGTGTGCACTTGAAGCGAATGATTACTGCGTCAAGATGTAATGTAACTTCTCAGACTTGTTATTGTTCTGTGATATAATTTGACTGTATAGCACACTTGTGATCACTTCTAAATTTCTTGAATTAATTACTGACTTAAGTTTTTAATTTTCTTTGTATTTTTTACCTTGTTACTTGAAACATTTACATATAACACAAGATGTAATGATGTGTTTGAACTCCACACATTTGGGGCAAAATACTATATCTTTCGATTCTAATATATCAAATCAAGTATAATTACATCCATAAACATGTTCTATGGAAGGAAACAATACATTTAAGTCGAGTACGTTATATCTGAACGATTTTGGAGCATCAGTACCTCGTTACAGTCCATGTCGGCTCAGCCGGTCGAGCTCTATTTGACAATTTTGCACCTTTAAAATAATGCTACAGCAAAGCTCTGTCGTAAGAATGTCTTGTCCAAAGCTTATTAGTGTATGAGAACTATGGTTACTCAGCGCACATTCCAACAGTCCGATAGCACAAAAATCTATGGACTTAATCGATATGTCTTTGCATGGAATAGCATGAATAGTAATTTCGTTCTCTAGCTGCTTGAGGTATACGATGGTTATCGTGGAAACAACTTGTGTGTATGTAACGTGTGTCTCTTTTTCCAGACGGAAAGCATTCCTGATTATGTTGCATGCTGTTGCCTAGAGCATGTGGTCGGCTTTTGCTACTGACCTTTGTATTCGTGGATTCTCATCTGTTACAAATGCTTCACTTTGCTTACAACGGTTGAGGTACGACTTGTTGCAGGTCTCTTTCTGTATGATTCGGGGTCCCCAAATTGATCCATATTTCTTTGTTTTCCAATACCATTAAATACAAGAGATATAACCATCTTGGAAATTATAAATCTCCTCTCTAACCACATCTATATTATTAGAGTATATGAATATTTTACGTCTGACAGGGCTATTTGCATACTCTGCCCAAAAGCGATCAGTTTTCGGTGGCATCACACTACCTACAAACAACGTGTCCAAATGTAGTTCTGATAAATACCGATCCACTAGGACTTTATGTCGGCTGTGTTTTTCGTGTGATTTACTAATTTGTATATTGCAAATCATGTTAATACAAGGTGCTTAACCCTTTATACAAATGTTTACCATGCGAAGCACCACACACTCTACTGTCTTACGTGCATCAAAATAATCATGATTAAAATATAATATAAATAAAATAGTAAAGTATAACTGTGCGTTACATCGTAATATTATGAGGTTAATTTCTACAACGTATTGTTTACTGCACCAATTTGCATTTTTTTAAATTATCCTTGGTAATAATAACACTTTAATCTATAGATATTTATATACTGAATGATAAATATAATCTTTCGTTACTTGTACTGAATTTAATCATGACAAGACTACAATATACAGTAATACCTCTGGGAACGAAACTCCTTTATAACGAAATCAGCTGTGTAGAGCCCCTTCGATCCCCTAATTTTGCAAAAAAAAAAAAATCTTCAGAAATCATGGGAAGCGGTTAAAATGAGTAAAGTTTTAAATGTTATATGTGCTCTGTAAACGCAACCGAGTGGAGTTTGTTTACATTATCAGCAGCCAATCAGTGAAGAGCTTCGCGAGCCTCCATTACCTGGCCCAATCAGCATCGCGCTTTATGAGTCTTCCCTCTCCCACTCGCCATTGCTTGAGCTTATTGTGTTGGTAAATTAATAGTTTTTTGTTTGGTTTTTTATGCAATGATAAAGTGATTTTATTAGCCCAATTATGTCATTCAAACGACCATCTAGTACTAGTGGCTTTACCGGGTAAAATGTGCAGCTTAAATCCAACTTTTTGGAAACGAAAATGCAAATCGTAAGTCGTGATAACATAGTGCTAGTTCCGAGAAAAGTCATTGGTGAGTTATTTTATTGGTTTATTATCTTATTCAATGTATTTTTAATAGGTATTTACTTTTAATGCATATTTCATGCTTTCAAGCACATTTTAACCTTATATTTTGTACTTAATGATGTTTTCCTATTGTTCTCTGAAAGCCTGGAACACATCCCTATGTCTCCTATGTTATATTTACCTATGGTAACGAAATTTCTGACAACAAGGCGGTTTCATGGAACGAATCTACTTCGTTATTAGAGATATTACTGTAAATAGGTAGATCACGTATATTAAAATTACCATTCAATTACTAAAGTTTAATTATATCAAGGTTATTATTCAATCATGATCAAGCTCACCTGTATCTGCAGAAACGTTTTAATTAACATAAAAATAAACAAACGCCTTACTCGATATTCGATGATATAATAATCAGGGATCCCTGACCCGATATCATTCTCTGATGTCCATTCTCTGAAGAGTATATGAAAGGAATCTTCTGTATGTAATTCTACAAAGGGTCCGCTTTTCAACACAGGGTAACCTGTTCATAAAAATGCACATTGATCTTTACCTAATTAATTTTAATAAAATCATGAGAATTGTTCAAAATATTAATTTTTTTTTATAATATGAGTTTTATAATTTGATTTGTAATTAAAAAAAGCATAAGAACCTACATAGAGTTTCATTTGTTGTTGTTGTAAAACTCTAATTTAAAAGTATATATGTGATACTTTGCGATGTTTCGAAGTACTTAACTAACCAGTTAAACGTTGAGCTCAGACGGAATACTATGGAAAAATCTAAATCCGTTGTTTGCATGTTTCTGAATAGAGATATTCTATGTATGTGTATACCTACTTGTTGTACAATTAGTTCCATGCCACCCAGATCTGCAACCATAAAGACAGTTGCCTGTATATATGTCACAGTCACTTCCACCTAAACAGTTACATTTTCTCTGTTGAGAACAGCCTGCGCCATATTCACCGGGACTACACCCTGTGGAAACAATATATAACAAGATAGTATATATATATATATATATTATAGACATTTCTACCCAAACAGTTGCACTTTCTCTGTTGAGAACATTCTGCGCCATATTCACTAGAACTACACCCTGTGGAAACAATACATAACAAGACAGTATATATATATTATAGCCATTTCTACCTAAACAGTTGCACTTTCTCTGTTGAGAACATTCTGCACCATATTCACTAGGACTACATCCTGTGGAAACAATATATAACAAGATATATATATATATATATATATATATTATAGCCATTTCTACCTAAACAGTAGCACTTTCTTTATTGAGACTACACAACTATTTCGCTAAATGAAAAGACATTAAGAATTAGATCGTTGAATATAACTTTGAGCTAAAACACAATAGGATTCTATTTCCTGTAATTCACTGGTCAACATGAAAAGCAGCCTTGGCTAACAGAATATACTTATATATATGTCTATTCTGTGGGAGTTTTACTTCAGTTCCTATTGAAATATGCTAACTCACTATATCCGTTACCTACTCTTGGGCCTTTTTTTAATCATTTTAAAGCTAACACATTTTGCAGGACACTGAAAGACGGTTTAAATTAGTGAGTTTACATAGGTGTCTATATCTACCTTATACATATCACAATAAATTTTGGATAACTGTATTATTGACACCAACGACAAATATATTTATATATAACTGATATTTGTTAAGTTTAAACACCAATAAATGGCCTTACTTATATTACATTTTGGGCCCTTGTAGCCGGGTGCACAAGTGCACCCGAAGGGATCAGGAAGACAAATCAATATTTCCTTGCACGAGTCCCACGTACTGGTACCCACTGTCTCACACTTCTGCGTGCAGTCTTTTCCAAATGCATTCGAAGGGCAAGCTAAAAAGAATGATATTTCCTGATTCACAGATCCATATACAAACACACACAAAAACAGTTTCTAAGCAACCTAGAATAAAATAAACAAAGTTGAAATGTGATGTAGTTGTTGTCTATTTGATAAACATTTCCTGGTACAAAGACTAATAAAAAAGAACTGCTAATAGGAAAATATATATATATCGTAAAAATTGTAAACGTAAAATTATTAAGAATATTAAATGAACTTGATAGAAAAACTTAATAGCTTCAAGTTTAAAATCAATCTGGAATAATACATCCACAATGTAATAAAAAGTGGATTAATCAAAATGAAAATTTTGATTTTAATTTTTTCTAGTTTATAATTACATCTAAAACTGTTTAAGAGTTTTGAACAAGAAGCTGGTCTGTTTTGCAAACTTTGTATGCGAAATTTTGTTAATTAATAATATTATGTGATTCCAGCTGATAAGCCTATTTTCCATACAACGTGGACCAATAAACACAAAAACAACAGCATTTGAAATTTTTGATATCAGAGTTCTTTCTTAGTGAATTTAAACACAGAATTAACATTTATTACTATATACGTGCATTAGGATAAAGTGATGAATTTTGCGCATTTATCTGGTTGAACTTTTCACTTAAACAGCTTATAATGATTACCTAAACTCTACGTTCTTCCATTAGGTAATCATCCGTTCCTTATAAAGTATTAATTTGAGTAATTATTTACGGTAGATTTCATTATTTTAAGCTACTTAAATTAGACCCCGGTGAGACAGCAGTAAGTCTACGGACTTACAATGTTCAAATCAGGGGCTCGATTGTTATAAAAATCACACACACAAACTCCTTAAATTAATGTTGCATTCTTTAAACCCGAAAAATAAAAGTATAAACAGTGGCATTCGAACTTAAATCATCATGTACTGAATAGGTATTCAAAACAATTTACGCTATTTGGATGTTACAAATCTTAGTAAATTTGTTGAAATTAGAAGGTATATGTCAAGATTAAGTTTTTGATAAAAAAAAAACATATGTTGTTGTTGTTTTTTCATAAATAAATAACTGAGAATTTAGTCACGAAAATGGATCTTGACATATGTTTATACTTGTTCTAACCACCTTATTTACGAGATGTTTAGTGTTTCTGAATCTTAAATAGATGTACTCCTGTGGGGTCTCCAAAAGTGTTCTATTTCAAGAGTAAATAGAACCAAAATTAAGAATAAGAAATATTTTTGTTTCTTGCTTTTCAAGTTCATATGTCATGCTGTATTGTATTTTACAGAATGCATAATTCTTCTCGTGATTCATGGGATGCGCACGTTTCACTGACGTCATGACAGTACAAATTGCAACGTTAAGCGTCCCTTATTTGACGTCATTTTAGTGTCTACTGACTGACTGACAGACAACACACTATCGTTTAGTTGGTTATATCGGTAGGAGAAGGAAATAAAGTTTCGAATGTCACAACCATCAATCTCTGTTGGTTATATCCGAGTGAGGGAAAATACATTTTTGAATGTCACAAGCATCAATCTCTTTTAGTTATATCGGGATGGGGGAAATACATTTTCGAATCATAAGCATCAATCTCTATTGGTTATATGGGGATGGGGGGGATAAATTTTCGAATGTCATAAGCATCAATGTTTGTTGGTTATATCGGGACGGGGAAATAAATTTTCGAATGTCCCAAGCATCATTCTCTATTGGTTATATCGGGATGGGAATTTGCACAAGTTTTAAATTTAACAAACAATTGATAAAATTAATAACATAAACAAAATCAAGCAGAAAAACATTCAGATTATAACCTAGCAACATTAAAAATTGAATGAAAGCAAACAAGTTAAACTAATGAACAATTTGGTAAAATTTCTTAGACCACAAAAAACTGTGGAGGTACCATAGTTATCCTAGCTATGGTGTCATAGTCAAATGAGTGTCTTGCCAAGAGTAAATCGCCTGAAAAGACTATTACACGAATATTGGTGTAGATGGTTCATTGCACATATGATTATGCATGATACTCTAAATATTTGTTGTATCATCTTTTGCATCCGTACCAGTACTCGTTTAATCATCTTTTGAAGCGGCTCGCTTCTGAAAAAAAAACCACTCATTTGATATTGACTTCAGAGCTGGTATAACTGTAGTTCATCCATATTTGTTTCCCTTTTTGGCAGGTTCTTGAAATGTTATCAAGTTTGTTATTGTTACTTTTATAATTATTAGGTTCTTTAGAATTAATATAAAGGAATCTACGTCGAATTTAATTTGCAATTATAATCCATAGGAACGTAGACTACTGTAAGAAATATACTATATATCTATTATAAATTCCACCAGTATACTTACGATTTTCACAAAAGGTCCCATTGAAGCCAGGAGGACAGATACAGTCACCGGTGATGTCGTGACAGATCCCACCATTGTGACACTGAGGACATTGGAATTCACAGCTAGGACCATAAAAATTGTGTTGACAACCTGTAAATATTAAATCGCTTTCTAAAAAGATCCCCTAGAACCAGAATTTTTATTTGTTTTGTCAGTTAAGCACATGCTAGTTTCTTACCAAAAGCACTTTCAGACTATCCTTCAATTCGTATTAATCATTTATTTAAAGAAAACTTTTTAAGAAAGCAAAATGTTTAGCCTTGTCACTTTTCTATAACTATAAATCTTGAACAATAATATAAGACATTCTGTCCTTCTGAACTGACATAAACAAAACTGAAGTTTGTTTGTTTTGAATTTCGCGCAAAGCTACACGAGGGCTATCTGCGCTAGCCGTCCCTAATTTAGCAGTGTAAGACTAGAGAGGAGGCAGCTAGTCATCACCACCCACCGCCATCTCTTGGGCTACTCTTTTACCAACGAATAGTGGGATTGACCGTCACATTATAACGCCGCCACGGCTGAAAGGACGAGCATGTTTGGTGTGACGGGGATTCGAACCCGCGACCCACAGATTGCGAGTCGACCACCCTAACCACCTGGCCATACCGGGCCTTTTCATCGGGTTCTCCATAATGTATGGCTCGATTTGGATTTTATATGAAGTGAAATATTGTTACGTTTGTTTGTTGGTCAGCGGGACGCTGCACAATGAGCTCTCTGTGCTCTGTTCGTCACGGTTTTTAGTTTTATATGTCATCAGACACATCACATTTATCGCTAAGATACTGAATGGGAGATTACGGTCATAATCCTTATCAACACACCTTTTGTCATAACAGTTATTATGGTTACAGATAAAAATATAAACCATTTTAGGCTACGCAAATTTTGTAGCTTGTAAGTAAAGTTGCTTACTAATGACATCTGTAAAATCTGTAGGTGTAAGTAACACCACTCACCTCTAACAATCAACCTCATAACACCACGATATCTACTGTGATGTCGGTGTTCAAGACTGTACATCCCTGTGTAGCCTTCCTCTACATCTTCGATTGTTCGAACAATTCCAGATGGTGTCAACGTTTCGTTGTCTTTTTTCCAGATTTTTATTTCCTTAGATAAGCTTAAATCCTGAAGAATGAACTCAATATCCACATTTTCCCCTAAGCTAGCCGTCACGGTATAGGTCTTCGGAAGAAAATGTGCTAAAACATTAAACAGAATTTGTTTCATATTGTACCAAGAATATAATTCATTCTTCATATTGAAAATGATCTCGTACATCATATGAAGTTGAAATGACTACGTATGTGAACTTCAAATGACTATATACATCATATGAACTTGAAATGACTGTATGCATCATAGGAAGTTGAAATGACTGTATACATCGTATGAGCTTGAAATGACAGTGTACATTATACGAACTTTAAACTCTGTGTACATAATATGGATTTGAAACGACTGCGTAAATCATGTGAACTTGAAATGGCTGTGCACATCATTTAATAAGAAAGGCTTAGCATGTTATATTAAATATCTTAATTTGCAATACAAAACGACTCCCTGTATCATATCATAACAACATTATATATCTCGTCTTATAACATATGAATCCGTAAGTTTCAAAAGCATACTTAGGAACAACTTTAAATGTGTTATCAAAATAACCTTACAATAAATGACAGAAAAGGTTCTTAAGCCTGTAATCGAAATAGAAAATTAGAGGTTTGGGTGCGTTATAAGTGTAACGGTCAAATCCCACTATTCGATCAAAAAATAGTAGCCCAAGAGTTGACAGCAGGCGCTGTTGGTTAAATTCCTTCCTTATGTCAGTTTAAAGTTAGGAATGACAAAATAATCATTTATGGCGTTTAATTTGCGCAAAATTTGTGAAACAATCCGAGTTACTTATTTTGATCTCTTTTTATCTAAAAGAAAACTAACAAGACTAAACATCATTAATGTTATAAATATGACAGTTAATATTTATAAATTTACAAGAATCTTCCTTATTCATTGAGCGTGCAAGTACATAATGCTGTTGGTGGTGGTGAGTGTTGTAAGTCCAGAGACTTAGCGCTGACCCAGTGTGGGGCAGTACAAAGGACAACTAACTTTGAGAAATATTCTTATACAAATCTGTTGTTGAGTATAATTTACACTAACTTCTTAGAAAATGACCACATTAATGTTTGCCTTCATCACTTATTTACTATCAAGTTTCTTCGGTCTCATTTATTTACTGTTTACAGAACTTTCATGCGATTCCAATGTATTAATTTTCAGTACTTTGAATCTTCAAAATGATTTTAATTTTCAGTACGTTGAATCTTCAAAATGATTTTAATTTTCAGTACTTTGAATCTTCAAAATGATTTTAATTTTCAGTACTTTGAATCTTCAAAATGAATTTAATTTTCAGTACGTTGAATCTTCAAAATGATTTTAATTTTCAGTACTTTGAATCTTCAAAATGATTTTAATTTTCAGTACTTTGAATCTTCAAAATGATTTTAATTTTCAGGCATGACCCCTAAAAATGAAAAGTGCTTTTGTCAGTGGATTTCTTGACTTAATATTTGTCCTTTTTGGTCATCTTACTTTTTTTAAGTATCAGTGCTTGATATGTCATGTATCACATGAATTGTAAGTCTAGCGTTCGCGCCACATTCCTACTGAACACGCTCCGCACTTTAAGCTTTGAGTGTATAATAGTGACAATCAGTTCCTTTACACCATTTAAATCCGGACAAAGCCCCTGTAAGGACTTTCATTACTAAATAACAGGGCATTCTATTTGTGAGAAAAAGCTACATGTTTCACTTGTATCATCTGATTTACTTTACTGCATTAATTTACTTGCGTACTCTATCAATAAAATTCACGATGCTTTTATACCCTATGACCCTTAACAACGGCTATTTTTTGCTAAAACTCTTGTATTTTTGACATTTTATGCTTAGAAAGCACTTCTCTAAATGTTGTGTACAATTTCTTTACTAAATAAATATTTTTCTAGTCATGTTAATTGACAGGTTACTTTAAAAGCCTTTTATTTCCTTCCACTCTGAACGTGAAATAAAATACAACATGGAAACGAAGGATAGAAAGAAAACTACTATCAAGAGACAGACAAACAGGGTATAATAAATATTCCAACTTATAATAGAAACCTAACCTAAATTTATATGACGAACAAAATACATTTTATTTTTGCTGCATTTATTTGTATCGAAAGAAACATTCCTAAGAAGCACATAAGTAAATCCTATGTTCGCAAGCATTCTAGTAGCATTCGAATCCTACAGGTGTTAAGAATTGTAAGGTACGCTTTCTTAGTATGTTGGTCTTCTTTAATTGTGTAATGAACCTGATTTGTAACTTTATATATTGAATCACTAAGATCATTTTAATGTTATCTCTTTCTTCATAATCGCAAACTAACTTTTAAGACATAGTTCAGTTGCTAAATGTTTTTCTCGGAGATCGTTTCAGTGTTTATTAGCATGTTTAAACAATCCAGAAATTGATGGCAGAAATATCATCTCCATGTGATGCCTATAGGAGGCGCCATTGACGATTCCCTGGAATATATGAGTAGTAGTTTTTCCACCATGACGAATAGCTGCCCAAATATGTATGGCACCACCTCCTGTGTGAAAGACAGTGTTCTCTCATCTGTTCTCCAGGCAAACGATGAACACGAATCCTACCACCAACTTTAACAAACCGGAAACAGAACTCATCTGAAAATATAACATGTCGCCAGTGTCCTAACTGTAAGTTGGAATGCCCAAGTAACACGGTGACGGCAGTGAATTCGGGTTAATATGGATTTGCAGATATCTCTTCTTGAAAAATAACCTTCTTTGGTTAGTCTCCTGTTCACTGTTCTTCTGGATACCTTGCAATGAATGTGTTCATGCCATTCTTGTCATAAGATATTGCAAGACTTCTTTGGACATTTAAGTGTCAATCTGATCAAAACACAGTCATCTAGGGCAGTACTTTTCGGTATTTAGCAGTAGACTTTCCTGGAACAACGTTTCCTGTAGTCCAATGACGTTTCAGGATTCTGGATACAGTACACCAGGGATACCCTTCTGTTCTAGCAATGTCCGTTTGCTTCACACCATTTCTGGACAGTCGAACAATTTGACACCCTATAACTTCTGGCAGGTGACGAGGCATGATTCTACACCTGATAGTCGAGTACTATAACCACTAAAACACTAAGTTTTCGTAATCAGATATTATCAAATAATTCACATCTTTCATTTAAACTATCATGCTTTTCTAGTTTTTTCTTAATATTGTAAGATCTTTATGAGATAGTAATGCAAAAAAGTTATTAAACAAATTCTAACTCTACTGGAGAGCGAGCATTACCAACAGAGAGTGGAGTGTTGCCAATAATGGTGGCGTTAGGAATATATATAAATTATATCTCACAATTATTGCCATTACAATACGTGTTCTGTTTGATCTTTATTGCCTGAAAGGATAAAACAGTAACAACGTCTCTGTTTAAATTCTCTCTTTAGTGTTTAATTTTCATGTTTGCAGTTCATTACTGATCTGTGTCATGTGTTTAAACATAATATATATATATTTACAAGATCAGTAAAAACTGTCAATTCAAAAAGGGTAAATAGGGATTGTCAAAAAAGCACAGGAACAAAATGAATCCAAATGCAAAGATTATATTTTCAAGCCTACAACTAACAACTCTAAAAAAAGTTCATAACTTAGTCTGGAAATAGTGTCTACACTATTTCTTCAAACTATATATCCATATTTTGACTCCGAGTCTATAGTACTTGTCAATATTTCTGGTCGCACACTATAATTCTGTTTCATTTTAGAACAACCAAACCTGATTTTTCTTCTAACACTGTTATAAGTTACGTTTCATACTGTAGATTATCAGTTCCATGTGATAAAAATGTATTTTTTAAGTTCAAAAATAGATTAAAGTATAGGTTGAGCCTGAACATATTTATTCGTAACGTTAGATGAAAATAATTTTCAGGTATCCCGAACAGTAAACTCATTGAGTAAACAAAATCAGCTAAAAACATATCACCTTATCTAGCAATTACAGTAGAATTGCAGATCTATGATGCAATAAACAGTAATGGTAGACTGATTTCCGTTCTTTTATATTATCAATATGAATACCCTTAATAAGATGTTGTCAATAAGTACTTTATTCTAAGATAGGATGCTACATACCATCTTCCCTCATGGCTAATGACACCACCGTTGATAACATACTTTTCTCAGGCTGGCAGCTAAAAGCTCCAATACGATCGTTTCCTGGGAGGTGTTTTGGCCAAGTAATAATGAATATTTCATTTTTTCCTGTAAGTGTTTAGAATAATTAAAACCCTGTACATTTTTTCTTTAATTTCACTCTTTTCTTTCTTCCATTTTTTGTAAATAATTACATAATTTCTAGTTAACTAGCTTAACTGTGGTCCGATAGGTCTAGAAAAGATCCTTAGAATATACTTTAAGATATTAGGAGGAAAATGAATTTGTAAACTCTAAGGACATGTGTAAGTTTTTAAGTTAAACAGCTCTAGATGAGAACAAGTGAGTTCCGTAAAAGTTGTCCATCTTGTTTCATAAATAATGTCATAAAATATAAGCTATTATAGTTTTTCTGAAGTAATATTAACCACAGTTGAGGATTACGGTTGTTTTTTTTTTAAAAATATTACCTGTTGTTGTTTTATTTGATAAAAGAAGAATATTTTTGTTTCAGTTTATATTATTTAATATTTTCGTAAAAAAACTACCAAGTTTTCAATATTTAAGGAGCCTGTAGATGTCAAAATAACAAACTGAATATCATTATCTGATGATCACTCAAATGTTGACATTTATACAATTAAATAAATACATCAACAAATAATACTCTACATTTCAAATAGAATAACGACAATAATTCGACTATTTAGCTCAAAGCTTTTATGGAATGTTGTAATTTCCTCACTTTAACATTTTTAATAAATGAAAAATTATTAGTAGCAAATTAACTTTTTAAGTTTGTTTGTTTTTTGAATTTCGCGCAAAGCTACACGAGGGCTATCTGCGCTAGCCGTCCCTAATTTAGCAGTGTAAGACTAGAAGGAAGGCAGTTAGTCATCCCTACCCACTGCCAACTCTTGGGCTACTCTTTTACCAACGAATAGTGGGATTAACCGTCACATTATAACACACTCACGGCTGAAAGGGCGACAATATTTGGTGGGACGGGAATTCGAACCTGTGACCCTCAGATTGCGAGTCGAGTGCCCATCTTCTTAAATAAGTTTTGATTGTTTTTTGTTTCAAATCTTCGCACAAAGCTGCACTAACGGCTATCTGTGTATAACCACCCCTCGTTTTGAATTGACAGACTTGTGGGAAGACAGCTAGTAAACAGTACCTACTGTCAAATATTAGGCTACTCTTTTTTTGACCGAATAGTGGGATTTGACTGTTATTCTTATATCACACTCCCAACCACATAGTTCAGGGTACATGTTGTTGTTTTTTGCGGCAACGGACGGAAAACCATGAATCATTGGATTCACAGTCCTGGCATTTTGACCATCATGCTACGTCCAGCCCACCGAAATAGGAGCTCACTTAAGCGCACATTTACTCCAAATATATTATTACTAAGTTTTCGCAAATTATTTAGTTTTCTATATCAGTTTATTTTTGTTGTTGTTGTTTTTGATGATTTTATTGAGTGATCGATGGTCTAGAAGAGGTCATATTTTCTTTTCTTTCTGAATCCAAACTGTAGCTTCACCACATTTTTTTTTGCACCCAGGGATCACTCACTTTCTGAAAGATGAATCCCTACTCACATTGTCTTATTTTTGAGAGAAAAACATAATGGATAAGAATTTGCTTGTACCTATCAGCAGTCAGGGTGCCTTAAATTTTGTGTAAATCTTTAACACCATCGGCTGAGATACAAGTAACACTTGTATTGGTCCTCTAGTACCGTAGATGTTGTATGTTCACCGTGATACTGTTCTTATTTTTGCCATCGAATAAACTATCCTTGTTGTTGCCCAACAGTATGAATTTGGATTCATCTGTAAGAAGCACCTTTATTCAGCTTTGCTCATCCCATAGTTTGAGGCCTGATGTCAATTTCAGCTTTTTGGTTTGTTAACCTCTCCTAAGCAATGGTTTTTGAGCAGCTACTTATCCATTGAGGCCATGTTATGTTCATGTATATCTTACTGTTCTCGAGCTAATATTCACACCTGTGTTTACAGCTAAGTTATTGGTAAGATCTTTACTGTATTTCCGTGTAGAGCATAAATAGCGTACCCTGAGTTAATAAACGCCACTTTCGAAGAGTTTGGACTTTCTACCTCGTCCACTTTTACTAACATAACTAGTTTCACGTACCCTATTCAGAGTTCCATAGAGCTCCTATTGAAACATTAAATTTGACTTTAATCTGTCGCATGGTGTAGTCTTCACCAGCCATAACTTTGAATCTTACATGTTTTTCTTGGAAGTTATGATTTCATGAACTAAACTGCTGTTTGGAAAAGTATGTATATTGTTGTCTTATTGATTGTAATACGAGTAATCACAGTGTAAACTATTTACACGTGACTTTACTCAGGCACTTTGAATGTATACATACCAGTTTTAATAATAGTTTCTCTTTCGTTGTTACTTTCGGTAGTCTTCGTATTAAAGAAGCTTTAATTAATTTTTTCACCTATAAAACCATTATTGAAAACGTGACAGTACTCTGGTCACTTCATCTTCAAACAACAGAAGGGGAGCAGTCCCTTAATATTTGCATTTTAGTTACTGTTTCCATAACCTGTCTATTTATAATCTGGAGTTTTAACCCAGGACTCCCTGCTCAGTCTAAAATTCTAAGACCGATTTTCTACCAACTAATTTACTGATACGCGAGTTATAATTACCAGAAGACCTTACTATTCACGTACTTTAATATATTGCGTGTGATAATAATATTCAATAAGATGTTAGTAACTTCCTTTTGATAAGGCAAATATTGCAAGCAGTAGCATTTAGACCAGTCGTACCTTCTTTCCCGTACTGAATATGTTGATCAAAATCTCTTGAATTTGAATCAGTTCTTCCAAACACATTAAACTCTATTCTCTTCGAAACAGCATTTGTCCCAGTGAGACACTCTTGGGCGTACAATTCATTAGGTTTGAACAGATAATTCTTGTGTAGCGATGTTACATCTAATATTTCTTCTGAAATATCAAATAAGACAAATTAATTTGAAATAGCTTTTCCAAATATTTCTATTAGTTGAATAGGATATAAAAAACAGAGATTAAGTAATCCAAAGCACTGCATTTTAATAGAAATATAATATCAACATTTGTGTTAATAAAACATTATTGAGTAAGTGGAGATATTTTTGTCAAATTTCACTTAAGTAGAAATGTTTTTCCCAAATCTAGCACAACTTTGGTCTAACTATCCCCCCCATATTATAGCGTTTTCTTCATTTTAATTAGCTTAATATTTTAATACAAACTGCTATACCTTTATTTCCATTAATTTGTCGACCTTTGTAATCTAACCTAATCTAGAAGTGGTTTGCTACGTTATTCTTAAGTTGAAATACCAAAAGTGTTTTTTTTTTTCAGTCTCATCTTTCAAAAAATTTAGCCTAATCTGTTATAGTTTTCTTCAGGTTAAACCTCCGTGACTCTAAAATTTTCTACACTTCAGTCTAATCTATCACAATTTAATAATAGGGTGACCAGACGCCCTAGTTTGACCGGAACAATCTCGATTTCTGGAATGGTGTTCCAATAGATCCTTTTGGGATGTCCAAATACCCTGGTTTTATTCTTGTCACTAATTTGTAACTTATTTATGAGCACTTCAAGCCACTGACAAACATGAATCAACAGATACGATTTTTTTAACTGTGTATGGAAATTATGTCGTTTGCTGCAGCATACTTTATTGTCAACATCAAAGTTATTTTGAGATGATGTCACTATTGGACACTTCACCGAGCACGTGAATTTTCAATAGCCAAAATAAAAAAGACAGTTGAATGCAAATAGGAGATGCTGTTAAAAATCAATGTTCAATGCTAAAGCCGTGAAGTATTAATTCAAAGCAACATTAGGGTAAACATGAACTACAGTTGTTCAGAATTTTACTATAAACTCCTTCCCAATAAGATATTGCTCAAAAACATTCTCTCGTCTGAGAGGTGTCTGTAGAAGTAATTAAAAATATCATTTTCACTTAATGATATTTATAGCTTGCATAACTGGCTGTTTATAAATTTCTCGAAAAAGAGCGGGAGATTCAGTTTTAAGATCTGAAAAATGTAAGTGTGTCTCAGTTTTTCTGATTTGAAAATTTGGTCCCGCTATACTTTACTCGTCGTCAAACACATCTATTATATTCATACTCATAATTTACTTATAGTTTAAAAAACCGCGTTTTTATATACATAACAACCAACCATACTTTACTTGTAATTATAATTTCAATTTTTCTATACCTACTAATCAACAATAGTCTACTTGTAGTCTAAAAATAGCATTTCTACATAAAATAATTAGACACACGTTACGTATAATATACAATAACACAGTTTGATAATGTAATCAGTTATTCTACACCAAACAATTAAAATATCTAAAAAACCCTTAAATCACCTGTGGTTTTCGAGAAACGTAACAGCAGTTCTTTAATGTGGTTTTATTAAAATAAAATATTTCAAGCAGAAACTGTCATTATTCTAAAGAGGGATCTAGTAACATTATCATCAGGCTACTTTCTTAAATATCTGAAGAGTTTATTTTACACTAATATCTGTCAAAAACTTCTAGTTCATATTTATTCTGGAAGCTACGAAATAATAAATTATTAAATTAACGTTAAACTGTTACTTGTAAATGAGTATGTCCACTAAGAATATAACAACTCAAAGTTATTATAAGAAAAACAAACAAAGACAAAAGGTTTGTAATTTATAAAAGTTATTTAATCATTAAAAGCGGAGTGTACCTGTAATTCTTGGTGAAACAAAGAAATAACTTCCTCCGTCTGAATACTTCAGAGCTCCGTAACTAGAAATAACATATATGAATATTTCAGTCAAATAAATATTTAAAGCTCTAAGCACTTTTGAATAAATGTATTAGCCTAAATGGTTAATTTAACTCTCATAAAGCTTTTATTTGTTTGTAATTAAGCACAAAGCTACACAATGAGCTATCTGTGCTCTGCCCACCACGGGTATCGAAACCCGGATTCTAGCGTTGTTGAAAAAAAATCCTAAACTCTTTAATCTGCTATATAGAACATGTCACGAGCGAGATTCTCTAAAAACTATAAAGTTTCTCTAAATGTAGCGTAAAACTCGGAAGAATAATTAATGTTACATTTGTTTCTCTGATCACTTGTCACTTTAGCTTTTTTGTGCATGTTAGTTCACTTTAAACAGCAAAGTGTGTGACTTAGTTTCAGATTAACTTTAATCAATCATCTTAAGATTTTGAAAGTATAGTTCTCCCATAATATGCTATCGATTTCTATACTTCTTTGAATTTTTTTTTAGTTTAAAAATTAGATAATAAAACCAAACCCGAACTTAGCAGATGTACGACTTTGTTAACAATATTTATACAGATAAAAATAAATAATAAATATCATTAAAAATAATTAGTGAGCTAACTTATTTGACTTTATTCCTTGCCGGACAGATCCAATATATCTTCTTGCATCAGGCTGACGTTGTACTGTAACCGTTTTTGATGATGTATTCCAAGAGGATATGCGAAGATCCTGAATGGCAGCAAGACATAAAGGTGTATCCTACAAATATATAAAAGACGTGTCTGTAATATACCAAAAACCAAGAGAATTTGAAAATAATAAGGCAGTAGCTTTACAAGTTATTTTGAAAATCAGAAGTTGTTTGTTTGTTTTTAGAATTTCGTGGACTATCTGCTCATTTAGAAGCGATGGTCAATTCCAATTTTTGTTGGTAGAAGAGTAACCCAAGAATTGGCGGCGTGTAGTATTGACCATCACATTATAACACCTCCACGGCTGACAGGGCAAGTATATTCGGTAATAGGATCCAAACTCGCGACCCGCAGATTGGAAGTCGAATGCCCTAACCACCAGGTTATGTCAGGCTAGAAATATGTTAAGTAATGGTAAACAGACATATATATCATGTGTATTCATTTTATGTACAATGTTACCCATTACCCTTCCTCACTCCACTTTCATAAAATACATAGTATAGAAATATGAAGATGTTTAAAACAAAGGCAGAATAGAATGTTTAGTTGAAATTTGAAGATCATTCTATTCTGCTCTTTCCTGTGAAAATATTTCGAAGAACACCTACCTGCGCGGTCCATAATTTAGCAATGATAGACTAGAGAGAATACAGCTAGTCACTAACGTTCACTACCAAAAACACCTACCTGTGCGGTCCATAATTTAGCAATGATAGACTAGAGAGAAGACAGCTAGTCACTACCGTTCACTACCAAAAACACCTACCTGTGCGGTCCATAATTTAGCAATGATAGACTAGAGAGAAGACAGCTAGTCACTACCGTTCACTACCAAAAACACCTACCTGTGCGGTCCATAATTTAGCAATGATAGACTAGAGAGAAGACAGCTAGTCACTACCGTTCACTACCAAAAACACCTACCTGTGCGGTCCATAATTTAGCAATGATAGACTAGAGGGAAGGTAGCTAATCAATACCGTTCACTACCAAATCTTAGACTACTTTTACCAACAAATAGTGGAATTGGCCGTCATATTATAACGCCCTCACGGCTGAAAGGGTGACAGAGATAACAAAATTAGAAACAAAGCGATTTCACTTTTCTTTTTAATACAGTAAAGTGACATTTATGTTTACTGAAAAAAAAAATTGCTCAAACTAGTACAGAATAGCTACGGTTTGTTACACATGGTAATTTCTTATTTGAAATATGTCGTCTAATTATTCTAAAAATATTGCATAAATATCCGTTTCAATCAAATGCACGTAAAATACTTCCACTCCTCGTGAAATTACTTAAAATTTAACATTCGAAACAATTTGAAACTTGAAAATTATTTTGCATTCAAATGATCCTTGCAATCGATGTCACGTCAAATCCCCCTGGTCAAATTCTGGTTAATATTTTAACAGTTTGTTTGTAATTAAGCACAAAGCTACACAATGGGCTATCTGTGCTCTGCTCACCACGAGTATCGAAATCCTGCTTCTAGCGTTGTAAGTCCGAAAGACATACCGCTGTGTGCCACTGGGGGGGGGCAATATTTTAACAGTTTATTTGTAATTAAGCACAAAGCTACAAAATGGGCTATCTGTGCTCTGCTCACCACGAGTATCGAAATCCTGTTTCTAGCGTTGTAAGTCCGCAGACATACCGCTTTGCCACTGGGGGCAATATTTTAACAGTTTGTTTGTAATTAAGCACAAAGCTACACAATGGGCTATCTGTGATCTGTTCACCACGAGTATCGAAATCCTGTTTCTAGCGTTGTAAGTCCGCAGACATACCACTGTGCCACTGGGGGGGGGGGGGGATATTCTAACAGTATTAGAACTCGATTTAATTCTACAGTTTTGATTTCTTTTAATAATTACAAACGATTTTTAAAATTTAAGTTCAAAAGAATTAACAATTTTGAATAATTTAAGTAGAAACGATAAGTCTGTCATTTCTAAATCTGACAAAGGAAAAATTATAATAACTTTTGATAAAGAGGAGTTTTTTTTTTTTAATTTCGCTATCTGCGCTAGCCGTCCCTAATTTAACAGTGTAAGACTAAAAGGAAGGCAGCTAGTCATCACCACCCACCGCCACCTCTTGGGCTACTATTTTACCAACGAATAGTGGGATTGACCGTCACATTATAACGCCCCCACGGCTGAACAGGGCGAGCATGTTTGGTGTGACGGGGATTCGAGCCCGCGACTCTCTGATTGTGAGTCGAGCGCCCTAACCAACTGGCTATGCCGGGCCCAAATAAAGAGGAGATACTTTAAATAATATACATGATGATCCTACTGATACTAGAGAGGCTAGGTTACAAAGATACCTTGTGAAGTTAAAAAAAAAGATAATATTTCAAACGAGAAATACTATTTAAAAATCAAACCATAAGGTAGTCGTCGAGGAATCTCCTAAGTTTTTTCTCAAATTTGCCCCCAGCGGCACAGCGGTTTGTCTGCGGACTTACAACGCTAGAAACCGGGTTTAAATACCCGTGGAGGGCAGAGCACAGATAGCCAATGTATAGATTTGTTCCTAACTTCAAAACAAACAAACGAACTTTCCAAATTTCATAAAGAATGATGTCCATCGTGTCCTATAGTTCATAGGATTGGAATTTATAATGATGCTTTAACTGGTTTTCTTTGGTTGTTTTTTTTTTAAGATTTTTACTACCAAGTAATGTAATTGTAATGTTTATTGCACTAGCTTTGAAGTTGAATCTATGCGTATGAACATATCTGTAGATAAAACTAGACATTTAAGTGCCGATTTGATTATTAATAACTGTGACGCATTGAGCATTTCGAAAGCAGTATTTTTAAATTAGTGAATTTTGCTAAGGAATCGAATATTTTGCTTAATCGCGATCTTTATGATTAAACTGATGGAGAACCTATGGATTCTATGGCCACTCTTTTTCTTTGTTTCCAAAAAATAAAGAAACAATGGTTGGAAGACTCTCCGTGTTTTAAGCAGTTTTACTGCCGAGCGGATATTGTTAACACCCTCACCACCATGGGCTATTTTAACACTCTCACTCCACCTTTGGAAACTCCAATCAGTATATGATTTGAGCATAATCTATCATTTTTGGACATATTTATTCATATACTTCAAATGTGAAGTACAGCATAAAAAACTTTTACTTGGTTGTATTCTAAGTTCACAAGCTCGATGCCAGGTTTGTTTAAAGAAAGTTTGATTAAGATCTTATTACGTTGGGCCTACAAAATTTCAAGTACTTATGAAGTTGTGCATAAAGAGTTTAATAATGTCAAAGGATTCTTATGCAAAAATGGATTTTCCCATATATGTTCTCAATCGAATGTGTCATAACTATATGAAAAAAACGTAGTTTTAGCAAACCATCTAGATACGGAGTTCCTAAATAATTTTTTATTACAATTCTGTCATATATTGATAAATATTATTTGAATATATAAAAATCAGTTAAGAAATATACTTCGTATGGTATATCTTCAAATACAGTTGCCATGTATATTTAAACATAATAGTTCGTTTACCAAACTTTTTTTACATTTAAGGACCGTATTATTCAAGAGCCAATGAGGAACAGATCCTTTGTATGACAGAGAGCTTGCTCACATACAAACTGAGACCAGAGATTAACCATGTGAATTTTGCATTGAGCATACTGTTATGTCAATTAACGAAAGAAAAGTTTGAAATACCTGTATATACGTTGATAAATATATTCACATATATATATATATATATATATATTTACAAGTATTATCTTCTAATTTTAAAAAAATTATCCTGGTGTTTATATACAGTTTAATCAATTAGGTAAAGGCTATATATCTTAATATTTTACTGCATCTTTTTAAAAAGCTAGTAAAAGAATGTTGACTAAGAAATACAGCATAAAAGTTATTTAGGTTCCATGACTGATAAGCTATTAAAGAATACTTCTTAATATTCTAGAAGCTATAGGTTTTTATAGCTGCAATCTATTTCTCTATCTATTCAGTCTCCAGAAGAAGAAAAAAAGAACTATGTAGTGAACTGTTTTATATTATACTTACATAAGTGTAAACCGTTGTTCCCCACAGTATGTTTGATTTTCCTTGAATACAGTTGTTTGGACAGATAAAGCTAGGAAAAGAAATCAGTGTATATTTATGTATTGCATAAAAGTATTATAACTTCAAGGCTATTGAATATTGTATTTGGTAATAAAATCTGAATTTACAAGGTTTACTACATTATATTAAAACGATGTTGAATATGCAAATCATCAAGTCACGTGAAAACCACAACTAATAATAAAGATGCGATTGAACTGCATCTGTCAGAAGAACATGTTGTCATTGCTTGGTAACATGATGCCACCAAACATTGATCGCTTTGGGAAAGGTATGTAACAGCCCCTTTCGACGCAAAATATTTCCGCATTCAAATCATACGGATGGAAGATTTAAATTTTATAAGACGGGGATATCCATTTTATTTAATGAGATAAATATGGATCAATTTGAGACACCACGAGCATCCAGAAAGAGATCTGCAAAAAAGTCGTACTCCAGCCGCGGTATGCAAAGGGCAGTGGTGTCTTGTAGCAAATGAGAATCCAAAAAGTTCAGCGGCTCCAGGCAACAGTACGAATATAATGAAGAAGGGTCTCTGTCTGAAAACAAGGTTAAGATTAGGCTTTCAGTCACGCCTCCATTTCAACTATCACATACTTCAAAGAGCTGGGGAATGAAACGGACATTCGTGATAATGCATACGAAGACATGTCGGTTATTTTTACAACGAAACTTTTGTGAACTCTTATATTTAAGCAAGGATCGGGGAATATGTCAACTCTAATGTGAATTTACACAGAAACAAAATAAAAATCAGATATGATATGAATACTCTGTTACACAGAAATTGACGCATACGTAATCAATTACTTGAATGTTAAATTAGCTATAATGAAATCACTAACTGGCCACATTAATTGGAATATTTATTATTATATAATTGAAATGTATAATTTAAGTTCATATACTCTCAATAAAAACAATATGTCTATTATAGCTATGGAAAAAGGCAAACCCCTTGTCACAAAATAACACCAGTTAACCTCCTCGTTTGATTCTTCATTTACATACAAATAATTGTGGAAGTTAATTATTATTATTTTAGAGCAGTGGGCTTGGCCTGTCATAGTAAAATATTCTAAAACTTCAATAACACTGGTGGACAAAATCGAACTTTTTTTCTCTCATCAAAGATCTAAGCACACTTTTCTACATCAGTTTTGCACGCTGATTCCAAATCTGTTTTCGGTTTTCTTTTATGGCTGGTGTTAATTTCAGCACAATTTAGGTAATAATCACACATTAGACTAGTTAACGTCACAACTTTATTCATTTTTCAGTATAATTCCCATTAACGTTATACACACCATACACTTGGTTAAATGTATACAGTACACACTCGTGAAAAAAGAAATATACAACAACTTAAGTTATAATTAAGGCAATAACTAACCTTTCAGATTTGATCGGCCTCATCACGAAAACTTGACGTGCTTGAGAAAAACCAAAAACAGATTTGGAATCAGTGTCTCAAGAGCTATCTATATTATATGTGATGAAAATGACTTGTTGACCAATGTTATAATTTAACTGTTTCGTGTAGTGTATATAATATATTAATCACGTATTTAATCAAAATAAATGCGAATTTAATGCATAATTAATTTAATTAATTATGAACTTAATCATAACAAAATGTGTACTGTAATAGGATTATTGTATCTCACAGGACACATCTGGTAACAGCAGATAAGTCAACTTTTATTGTATAATGAGCTTGGCATGTTCTGGTAGTCAGGGCGCTCGACTCGCAATCTGTAGGTTATGTGTTTTGATCTCCCCAACAAATATGCCCACCCTTTAAGTCGCGGGGGCGTTATAATGTGGCAGTCAGTCCTACTATTCGTTGTTAAAGATGTAACGAATTTGATATTGTATATTTGTTTTAATCTCAACGTTTGTTTGGATTAAGTTTATATTTTAAAACATGCGTAGCGTATAGTGTTAAATATGTGATGCGAAACTCCCGCCTATTCTCCAAAGTTGTAGAAGATTCTCTACAGTAAGAATCAACAATATATATATATCTGTTAACATAAACGCTTAAATGTAGCTCAGTATTGTTACGCAAAACTGAAATTTCTAGAAAGACTTCCACACGCTTATAAATATAGATAACGCGACGCGCCAAAAGAGAAGAGTATCTATTTTTAGTTTGCTATAGTCAGTGTGCTACAAACTTTAGAGGCTATAACTGTAATTGCTATAATGCTTATCAATCGGAAAACTTCAGGTATTTGACCAGGAGCATTTACAAAGCTCGAACATTACAAATCATTTAACGTCAGTGGACTCTCATCGGACATTAGTATTTTACTAAAACGTTATATAAATTCATCGCGGAAGACTCGGCGCGCATGACTGGTGAATAACGAAGGACAAAGACTCAGCGTGTGTGGCTGGCAAATAACGAAGGACAAAGCTAGATAGCTTCCCTTTAAGCGAATCGTACCTACATCACTCTCGTAATTAACTTGCTCATCGTGACCCCTCCACAAGATATCAAGGAAGTTAAAGACTAGAAAGAATACTTTATATTGTTTGTAAGTTTTACAGCTGAGTCATTGGGGTTCATTAGGAAGGACATATCTAAAAGTATAAATATATCTTGGTTACCTATTAAAGAACTGTGATTAGAAAAAGTAATTTTCTTTATAAAATTTAATGACAATTTTTGTTAAGTCTTTTAGTAAATAACTTTGGGGCTGTTTCTAATGTATAAAACGATATACGTAATCTGAAGCAATTCCTGTGCAGTGTAGTTCAGGTAATATCGACAAGAAACTAGAGTTAAATAATCCTACCGTGCTTGTTTTCATTCAAACTTACCTGCAGTTTTTATTCATCTTACAAGACATGTTGTACGTGTAAACCGATGACTCACAGTTTGCGTTGTGTTCTTTGGCCCTACAGGCTGAAATATATAAAATATCCCATTATCGATTGGAAATAAAACGATCTCTTGTTGAAACAATTTCATAAGTCTTATATTTATTAATTCAAATATGAATTTCATGGACGTAATATTTGGTAAAAAGCTACACGTGAATGGCAAGCTTTAGACCCACCGAGACAAGAGAACGTGGCTGAGGGGAAACTTTTAATTTCATTTATTCACTGTGTTTGTACAAAGAAGACTGACAAACATATCAAGAAATTTTCGATAACTTCACAAAATTCTAAATTAGCTTTTTGTAAGAATAGTAAGATGAAGCTCAAATTTTAGTCAATAAACTGGATATAAAATCATACATTGAGAAAGCTGACGAAATGAAAATGTCATTGACTTTGAGAGTTTAATATTAATATAACATTCATTCATAAAAATGTACAGGTGTATCAAATAACTACAGCTATTGGGATCTGTACAAGTTCGAGGATAAATTGTTATTGATCACAATAATGTAGTTAGATGGTCTACTAAAATAAAAATTTGAGTATTTTTTGTGTAAGTCTCCTTAAATATCAACAATATATAACAAAATATTTCACCATTTATTAGTTAGCTTTACATGCTTAGATTGTCGTATAAAAAATAGATAATTCAAACGTATTTCTAAATTTCTGCCAAATGTAATCATTTTTTTAACGCTTTGTGAACTGCATTATGTTGTACTTAATATATATAGGGTTAACCTTGTGAACAATAAAAACAAGACGTAAAATAATTTGGTGTGTAATAAAAAAAACCAAATCATTGTTCAAATTGACTAACTGAACCACTAAGATAAAGTTTACTGAGCTGCTTCAGAACTAAAATTTAATGTTTTATACAAAACGTAATCAAAGTTGCTCAGAGACCAATATCAAAAACCAAACCAAAATAACGTTGTTGTTTTTTATTATTTTATTTAATACAATATAATAGAAGGTTTGTACATATGAAAGTTGAAAAGTAACCGTACCTTCGAGATGTACCTTCGATAGCATTAGCTTGTGTACGCAGAAGCATATACAATTTTATAAGCACGTGTTTCACAACAGACATTTTCCCTTTACTGGCATGTTCTTTTCAATATTTTCATTGCAGTTCCATGTTTTTCATTAATAGCATATATTGCATAATATTTTGTTTGTCTTTTAATAAGACGTGCCGGCACAGTGGTATGTCTGCGGACATATACTGCTAGAAACCGGGTTTCGATACCCGTGATGGGCAGAGCACAGATAGCCCTTTGTGTAGCTTTGTGCTTAATAACAAACAACAACTAGTAACATGCTTCCATATTTTTCATGAAGAAAATTAAATATGTTATATTTTTACATTCTTTTATTTTATTTAACTAATGTAGAACGAAGACGAAACGTCACAGTTGCTGTTGTTTCTATTGCGCTTCATCCGCCACAAGGATTCCTTGATTTTAGCGCTGTAAGTCTGTAAACTTGCCGCTGACCCACTAGGGGTTTGTTTATTTGTTTGTAGTTATGCACAAAGCCACACAATGGGCGATCTGTGATCTGCCCACCACGGGTATCGAAACCCAGTTTATAGCGTTGTAAGTCTGCAGACATACCGTTGTGCCACTAAGGGGCCCCATCAGGGGACCACATTCGAATGTCGACCCATCATGACGAGGTGGTTAGGGCGCTCGACTCGCAATCTGAGGGTCGCGGGTCCGAACCCCCGTCCCACCAAACATGATCGCCCTTTCAGCCGTGGCGGCGTTATAATGTGACAGTCAATCCCACTATTCGTTGTTAAAAATGTAGCCTAAGATTCGGCGGTGGGTGGGGATGACTAGCTGCCTTCCCTCAAGTCTTACACTGCTAAATTAGGGACGGCTAGCGCAGATAGCCCTCGTGTAGCTTTGCGCGAAAATCAAAATAAACAAAATAAATAAACATTCGAATGTCAATCATCGCTTATATTTAGGCTTCATTCTCATAGCTTGTGTACATAATCAAATTTTGAAATTATTCCAGATGTCGCCGATACAGTCCTACTTGTTTTAAATAAATTAAATAGTTTAAAATCAAATACCCTGACAAGAAAAAAAATGCCAAAATACGTCTATACGAAAACAACGATACTCCGTTGAAGAAAATACACGAAATTAACAGTCTTTCTATGTACAATGAGTTATTCAGCCTCTTATTCGAACTCTTTCCATGTTATATCAAAACAGATCTCTTTCTTCTTCATCGTGATTCAGTCCATGTTTTGAATCGGGGAAGATCAGGTTCAGCCTTGACCTCTTCCCCCCTAATACAGGTCTCAGTTACGTTAATATTCTGAGTCGCGGTTCGAAAAATAGTGACCATACAGAACAGTCGTGTGCCTAACACCTCTCATGGAAGAATAATACACTTGTTACAAATTCTTAATAATGAAAGTAGGGAAAAATCTCCATGAAGAAAAATTCTGACTATTAACTGGGTGTGCAGTTTTTGTGTGTTTTATTTCGCAACTAAGAACATTGTCTGGGACATTATCTGTCCATTAGATACAAAACTTGGAATGCATGAAAAAAGAGCAACTTTTATCTTATCCTAATCAGTTTGTCTTTTTAAATAATTAACTAGAATATTTTGAAAACTGTATAACATAAACCTTTTTACCTTCCTTCCCCAGTGGCACAGCGGTAAGCCAGAAGGCTTGTAACGCTAAAAGCAGGATTTCGATACTCGTTGTGGGCACAGTATAGGTGTAGTTTTATGTTTAACAATAAACAAACAAACAAAATCTGTTTATTCAACAGTGAACCTGATTGCCAGAAGGCTTATAACGCTAAAAGCAGGATTTCGATACTCGTTGTGGGCACAGTATAGATGTAGTTTTGTGTTTAACAATAAACAAACAAACAAAATCTGTTTATTCAACAGTGAACCTGATTGCCAGAAGGCTTATAACGCTAAAAGCAGGATTTCGATACTCGTTGTGGGCACAGTATAGATGTAGTTTTGTGTTTAACAATAAACAAACAAACAAAATCTGTTTATTCAACAGTGAACCAGATTTCCAGAAGGTTTATAACGCTAAAAGCAGGATTTCGATACTCGTTGTGGGCACAGTATAGATGTAGTTTTGTGTTTAACAATAAACAAACAAACAAAATGTGTTTATTCAACAGTGAACCAGATTGTTTACTATAATTTGTAATATTGTCCACATGTATTATATAAGAGTTTGACATTAATCACAAAGAATTATAATTCCGATTATTTCTTTAAAACATCTAAAATGTATATCTAAAAGAGTAATTACATTATACATTACTTATGTGTTTACAATAGGATTTACTATGTAATGATGTTGTGGCAACGTTATTATGCGTGGATTAAGTCTTCGACTTTACATTATGCTATTGCTATGGACGTTTGTATTGACTCTTGAGCAACTATAAGCAGTAACAACAAAGAGAGTTGAAGATAATTAAAATATGGCTTAGCTAAACAAACAGAGCACTTGATAAACTTACTAGTAAAAAGCAAGAAGACCACGACGACATTCAACGATAATATTCCCATGGCTACTTAGGGTCTTATACAATGTATTATAGAAAACATAATCAGCACAGCGGGGTTCCTTGTAGGCAATAAGGCAACTGTCTTCTTCAAACACAGGAAGGAAATTACTAAACATCCTTTTCCCCGTGCTTCTTCCACCGGATTCTGTATTCCTTAAAGTTTGTAGGGTGACGTAATTTAAATCTTCATAAAATCTTCCCAATCTCGTCGACTCAGAATCGTATATCCATTTATTAAACTAACAAATGCTCAAGCATTTTAACTGAACTTTCAGTTTACCTTGTATATATTAACTCCTTTTTTTTCTCATTGATATATATAACTGCTCTTAAAAGATCTATGTTTGTTATTATATTGCTATGTGTGAAGCCTAATCTTTGTGAAACAATGTTAAATTGTAAGTAACAGTACAATTAATCGCTTACCAAGAAAAACAATCACTTATGCGGATTTTTTTTTTCTTTACTGATATTTATGTTTAACAGTTTTAAGATCATTTCTGTATTTATAAAATCCAGGTTTACTAAGCTGTTTCTCTTTAATTAATGAAAATTTTATGAAAAAGACCTGGAATTTATTTCATACAACTAGCGTTAGAGTTGTTTAGGTGTATAAGCAGCAAATATTTTAGTTTGAGAAAAATGAAAACAGTTGTTATTCAGAAGTATTGGTGATTATAACACTTACAGTTTTTTTTTTTCTTTAGGAGGTCCCTCAACAACATACAAAGGTGCATGAGGAAGTACACACAGCAAAGTGGAGGAACTGTCTCAGCTGTTACATCATAATCAGATGACAACCATTCAAAGGAAGATAGCTTTCAATACACTTGGCCAGCATCCGCCAATCAGTTAATCTTCTTCAATTTACTTTTTTAAAAAGTCGACAATCTTAACGATTCCATATACATACACCCTACTTACCCTTAGAATCAGTATGAGACTGTAAAGTGCAATAGATATGTAAGAAGAATGTCAAAATTATTCAGGTTCATCAAATTATGAAATTAAAAAACGAAAAATCCGACGCAAATTTCAATATGCAATTCGGTTATTTTTCACAAACGTATTTAGATATGCTTGCCTACATCTTGATGTGACTTTCAGTAGAAAGATTACTTCAAGAAAGGTTTTTCTGTTTGCTTCTTCTAATCAGAAACTATTTTATCGATATCCTAAAAAAAGAAAGGCTTTATTTGAAAGATAATATTGGGATAAGCTGTGCAAAAACTAAAACTTATTCGAAGCATAAGGTTCTTAAGTCGTTTACACATGAAATTTTTGGAATTAATATTATACGTTTAGCTAATAATTACTGACAAACGGTGTATGAAAGATAAATTTCATAAATATATTACAATCGCTGTCACACTTTTAGTCTTACTGTTGCGCATTACAACCTGGATTCCACAGGCATGCGATGGTTTTATTGTCTTGAAATTTTTACACGTTCTACAGTAATTCCTGTACGCTGAATCCGAAA